ATAGACTAGAAGATCACCAGCTGATCGCCCTCGACGAAAACCGTACTGGCGGTCGTTAATCAGCTGGTGATCCTCAAGGTACCTCATGATCTGGCAGTTTATAATGGATTCCATTATTTTGGAGAACAAGGAGGTGATGGCAATAGGCCTGTAGTTGGATGGGTCTGAGCGGTTGCCTTTTTTTAGGGATCGGGTGGATCAAAGCTGTCTTCCATGAATTCGGGACTACGCCTTGGGAGTAGGAGTACCAGAAAAGACGCGTTAAAACCGGTGCCAACTCCGGAGCACACGTCTTCAGAATAATGGGAGGGACTCCATCGGGCCCACTCGACTTGCTGACGTCCAGGGAGAAGAGTGCTTTGCGAACCGAGCGCTGTGTAAACCGCACATCCGGCATGGAGCACTCACATCGCGGGATGGTCGGCGGTGTGTTCCCCCCGTCATCTAGAGTCGAGTTGGACGCAAAAAGAGAGTTCAACAGATCGGTTCTCCTTTGCGGCATGGGCCAGTGAGTCGTCCTCTCTGTGCAGAGATGGCTGACAGAAGTTTCCTTGGACAGCCTTGGCGAGAGACCAGAATGCACGGATTCCCGAAGGAAGGCGAACTAGCTTCTCGCCAATTCTGCCGATGTGCTCAGACCTTGCCTTGGCAATGACGCTTTTGAAGAACCAGGAGGTGGAGTTATACTTCTTTTTAAGTGCGCTGGTGTTTACATCCCGAGACGTTGATACCTCAGCCTAGGCCCGGTAGCACTCCTGCTTATAACGTGATGCTATTTTACAGGAGCGACCAAACCATGGCTGGGATCTGCCACCGATGGGCACCACCAGAGGATGGAATAAAAAGTTCCATACCCTGAAGTACCACATCAGCAACAGAATCGGCAACAACGCTGGGATCTTCCGACGAGAAGCAAACCCGCCCCCAAGGGTAGGATGCAAAAAAAGACCGCATCCCGTCCCAATCAGCTGACCTATAGTGCCAAACACGGCGGCAAGCTGCAGATCGCAACTGCGATTGGAGCGTGAGTGGTGGCACCGTACTCCGGATCAGACAATGGTCCGAAAAGCCCAGAGGGGCATCGATGGAGACCTGATATCCGTCCGGATGAGAGGTCAGCAGAAGGTCCAACAGGGAAGGTACATGGTCTTCCACATCTGGGATCCGCGTAGGCGAAGTAACCAGTTGTGTTAGACCATATGCCAAAGCAAAGTCATAGACAGATCTACCCGCATGATCGGTTAAACGAGAACCAAGCCATTCAGCGTGGTGGACGTTAAAATCACCGAGTATCACGATCTCTGCGGATGGAACCTGTTGTAGCACGGAGTCTGCAGCCATTTGGACGTGGTCGACGAGTCGGTCTGTATCGGCATCACCGCTATGGGACCTATAGAGGCATCCGTAGATTGTCCGTGGATTGTCGTCGCTGTCTACGCGCAGCCATAGGATGGACAGGTCCGTACCTTCAAGACTGCCGAGGCGTCGAAAACAGATGTCCTCTCTGACATATACGCAAACTCCAGCCCGGAGCACAAAGGAGTGTTCCAATTTGTACCACAGGTAGGAGAGATCTTTCCGGGTAGGAGAGAAATTTCTGGAGAGGACACCTGAGTCTCGGTCCACTGTTAACAAATTTGAATATATTATAGTGAATAAATAATTATCACAATCTACAATAACTGACTGCATAGTGTTAAAACTGAGGTTTTGGCGGGAACTTGACCGGCGACGGATTGCTGCTCCTGTATTATTGTTTAAATAATGGTTTGAAGTGGATTTTGATACGGAAAAGTGGTGCGATTTGGAGTATAAATGTCTGCGCATGTGAACTGTTAGTGGAAACGATGAAACAAATGCTCTAATGGTGATGTGATTCTCAAATCTGTAAAGATATCTGGTGTCTGCTTAGGCGCCTTGAGATACCTTCGCAAACTGTCAGCTGTCTGCTGGCTCAAGTTGCCGTCAAAATCTCCCAAGGGCTGCACAATGTGACGCATCAACATATTGTGAAGCAGTGTACTATGAAGGATAATTATACAATGTAACTTTAGGCTCAGAAGGGCTAGAACCTAGAGCCGTAAAGACAGTTATTAAAAATATAGTGTCAAAATTATATATTTTTTAAATAATTATACTCAAAACAATTTAATATATATTTATTTCGAATTTAGTAATAGTATGTTAAAATCCATTAAACTGTTAAAGCTACAGGTCGTGCCAAAGTAAAAGACATACATACACTCATATCGACTCTTCTTCTGGAGTAGTCGGGTAAAAAAAATATTATTTCTTTACCAATTCAAGAAAAATTCATAAAGAATTATTCTGCCTTGCGTAATTTTATGTGTATCGGAACAGTCCATAATCAGCTATGGGCCTCCTGTAGGAGGGCATGATATTACATACTCGTATAATATAGAATAACACATAGTATATACATGTACATTTATCTTGCTGTGTAACAGTAACAACCTTAAATTATAGAGATATGGAGGAAACCAGGCACAGTACACCACACTATACTAATGTGAGTTAGTAGATATTTTCTTGGAACATGTTTATCCCTCTTTTGCTTCACTATTATGTATTTTTGATAATTTAATATTATTGCAATTATAGGTTCGGTATTCATCTACTATTTCATTTTTCTTTTACTCCTCTGCATCATCATTATTAGATATACTGAATGCGGTTAAAAAATCATCTTTAGTACTTGGGCAGTACTTGATAGTTCATCATGAACGCTAAACCTTCTACATCATCCGCAGAGACAAAACCGCGATCAACTACATGAACCTATGTTAGGAAATCGCTTTATATTTATGGAAATCCAGTAAGTTCAAAATACGTTGTAGCAATGTACTGTACTGTACCAAATAATCGAACCGTCGAAGCTAAATACTTCGAAGCTTCATTGATTGCGATCGAGACATTCAATGGTGATAGTATCCCAATTGGTGATACACGTGTAGGATATAATACAGAAACAAGGAAAAACCATCTATTTAGGTGATGTAAATAAGTTACGTATGATAAAGAAGTTACAGAAGGGGGACAAGACTACGAAATATATATTATCGACAGTTGCACTGACACACGCGCACGAATAAATTTTGAAACTACATTTATCGCTTTAGGGTATGACTCCGAGTGGAACCTGTGCCAAAGACACGCGCCACAAAAGGGAATGAACGTCCCAAGGACATGTAGAATGTAAAATTACCGTGTTCTACAACTCTTCATGATGCGAAAGCAGAAGTGAAGAAGGAAGAACTTTCTTTACCTGATCTTAAAGAATTACCAATATCCACTGAATCAACCAGCAAAGTGGAGGAGTGGTTCGAAAAGTTAGAAGTCGGATCGGTAGTCGGTACGGCTCAAGATGTTGAATCCCATCGCCGGCTGCGAATGTGCAACAACTTGGAAAATTTGAAAAGAACTCTTGGTCAATGTTCGAATCATATAAATGAAGGTATGCTGAATTGTATGTCGGAGAAACTCGTCTTACAATCCAGCATAGACGATCATTTAATACAAAAAATGAGAGAGAAGGAGATGGTTAAGAAAGTCCTTGATCTAGTTGAATTGTAGTAGTACGACTGCTGATCATAAGGCCTCGGTTTCGATTCCCCGGGGTCGGGCCAAAAAAAAATAATTATTGAGCTTTTCCATCAAGAAATTCTCAGTAGCTGCCCGGAGTCAGGAAGTTGGCGGTGTCGCACCCCTATGCCTCGAAAGCACGTAAAGCCGTTGGTCCTGCGCCTGATCTCTCTCCGGTCGTGTCGGTTTACCGTTCCATGGGACTATGAGAGTGAGGCAATAGAGAGTGCACCTGTGCTTTGCGCTTATACTTGGGCACTATGATCCTGTCCTGCACCGTTGGCTAATCTCCGTTAAAGCTGGCTGCCGTGACCGAAATTTGGTCTGAAGGAACAAATTAATAAATAAAATAAAATTATTATTATTAGATACACTATTTACATAAAAACTTTATGTACAGAATTCGGCACAAGCATTAAGCACTTGATAACTATGGTGGGGTTCGATTATATGCTGATTCATCTTTTAATGATTAAATCATTGTGTGCTTGAACTTGTACAGTACTTGCAACATTCCGTAACTACAGAACGAACAACAAACCAATCAGGCAGCATGATTAGTGCACACCAAAGCTTACCTCTTACCATATTACTCATAATTCATGCTTCTAGCTAACCTATAAATTTTGCATGAGTGACAAACAATCACACCATCTACCTGATGGTAAGTAGATGTGCCCCTAACATACATCTGTCGTCAATTAAGAATCAAAATACAGATGTAGGACAGTGATGAAATGCCTTGTTACCTGTAAAAAGGGTTGCTAGTTCTCGACACCTAATCAAATCTCTTAGTACAACAATTTCTGTGATATTATTCATTTCTCATTCCTATGAAAGATTAGTCTTATCTAAGCTATTAACAAAAGACTTGAATAAATCATTTTTCTTCTGTTCCCTTCTCGTTGAAACAAGTTTAATCGCCAAAACTACCAAGTTTAACTCTTTAATATATTATTTTTGTTCATCATCATCATCATCATCATTGTTATTACAACATAGGCTTCTCCCCAAGGAATGCCATGAAGAACAATCATGAGCCACCTGCATTCATCATCTTCCTGCATCTATTTAAAGATCGTCGCTCCATCTTGCCTTTTTACGGCTGATACAGTTCATGTACAGTTAGCCCCATACAGTTATCAATCAGATACAATGATAACACTGTCATTGGATGAAGATGCTTTACGTTTTTATAAATTATCCAATTATCACTTCCACATTACACTCAAGTCAGTTATGTCACTGATCTTATCACCATCTCTTCTTTTTTCTTTTCACTCAAGTCACAATAACACTGATCTTGTCAACCTTTCTTCTCTTCTCTTGTTCTGTTCTGTTCGGTTCTGTGCCGCACCACGTTAGAGAGTCTTGGCATCGTGGCGGGCGCGCCGCCCTCAGACAGCCGTCTCGTCTGCCGGACCCTTCACTTGGACCTCAGTGGGACTCTTCACTGGGACTCGGATTATTTCGTCCTCCACTTTGGACTCTATCGGCATGTTCTGAAAAAATGTTCAACAGTTATAGTTAGTTTTAGCTCTTGTTTTTTAATGTGTATCACTCAAGCTTTAAGCAAGTTTCTTGTGTTTATAGTACGCGTGCGACCCGGGTTCGATTCCCGCCACAAATGATATTGTTAATTATAATTCTTAGTACTGATGAGAAATAAAATCTGAGAGCCTAAGGGAATAAAACATGTGAAGTATCTGGAGAAAGCTATTTCGACTCATTTTGAGAGTAAATTAAGTAATTAGCTCAAGAAATGATCCGCGGACTTTTGAACCTCCTTTTGTATAATGATTTCTTATATTTACGCGAACACTACACATTTTTTAAATAAAACTAATTTTACGGATTTTATCGCGTATATTAACTTATTTTTATATTCCCGACGTTTCGGGTGCTTTCCAGCACCCGTGGTCACGGGGGACTGAGTTGTTTGACGTCCTGCTGTCATAGTTAGCCCGGCTACCTTCAGTTTTTTAATATTAATTTTTGGTTCGATTTACGCAGAATGAGCTTACAGTATCTTGAAGTCTAGCAGTGGTATACTTGGGTTTGGATTTGATTTTATTAATTATGGGATCCCAAGCAGATGGCAGCACCCATCCATCTTCTCTATTGAAATTAGGATGTTTTTTAATTTCAATAGCCTCGCGAATCATCCTTGGGAGGAATCGGTGTTCTTTTGCGAGGATTTGTGGTCTATCAAACCTAATGTAATGATGGGGACGATCCTGAACATGTTCACAAACTGCAGACTTCCCGATACGTCAGTGCTTCACGTCAGCTATATGTTCTTTAACGCGGGTTTTAATAGATCTTTTTGTTTGTCCTATGTACGAGAGACCACATTCACAATCCAGCTTGTACACTCCTGCATCTTGTAGAGGGATATGACACTTGACGGATGGTAAAAATTGACCAATCTTCTTCAGCGGCTTGAAGTACGTTTTAATGGAAGCTCGCTTCAAGATGTAGCCAACCTTGTCTGTGACTCCTCTGACATAGGGTAGTACAGCAGGCACACGCTCGACTGTGGCTGGCTTCACTCGGTCACTGTGACGTAGGCGCGGGACCCGAAGCTTGTTGTCTTGCAGTACTTGCTCGACGTGCTGAAGCTCGGCGGCCAGATGTTTTCTGTCACAGATCCCTCGTGCTCTCTGAAACAAAGATTTTCCCACGGTAGCTAACTGTGAAGGATGATGGTGAGATTCACCATTTAAATATCGGTTGGTATGGGTATTTTTTCTGTACACAGTATGACCAATAGTGTTATCAGGATTTCGGATGACTAAAACATCTAGAAAAGCTAAAGTATTGTTTGCCTCTAACTCCATTGTGAATTGTATTTTAGGGTTTATGGAATTAAGGTGGTTTAAAAATGCAGTTACTTTGTCAGATGGTAAAATTGTGAAAGTATCGTCTACGTACCGCTTGTAGAATCTTGGATTTACAGGAGCAGTAAGAAGGGCTTTCTCCTCAAAGTCCTCCATGAATATGTCGGCGACTACGGGAGATACAGGTGAGCCCATTGCCACTCCGTCTACTTGCATGTAGAACTCTTCTTTCCACAATAAATAGCCAGATGTGAGGCAGTGTTTGAGTAATACTGCATATTCTGTAGGCATGTTGTTATCTTCTAGCTTTCTAGTAACAATTGAGATGCAGTCTTCAATAGGTAGGCATGTGAATAGTGACTGAACATCAAAACTGACCATAGTTTCATTGTCAGCGAGATGTAGGTCTTTAATCTCACTAACAAATTGGTATGAATCCTTTGTGTGTGCTCTGGTATGTCCTCTTAGTGGTGACAGTATTTTTGCCAAGTGTTGAGCCAACTTATAAGTTGGTGAATCGATCTGGCTTACTATAGGACGTAGTGGAGCATTTGGTTTGTGTATTTTCGGTAACCCATACAACCTCGGTGGTTTGGCACATGATGAGTATAATTTCAAAATACAACAACTTTTATCGGACGTAAGTACATACAAAAAGGTCAAAATAGACCCTACAACTAATACACTCAAAACAACCACTGATTTAATAAAGAAATACTCCGAAAAATTAGATCTTGACGTGAATTCGACAATACCATCATGTGCCAAACCACCGAGGTTGTATGGGTTACCGAAAATACACAAACCAAATGCTCCACTACGTCCTATAGTAAGCCAGATCGATTCACCAACTTATAAGTTGGCTCAACACTTGGCAAAAATACTGTCACCACTAAGAGGACATACCAGAGCACACACAAAGGATTCATACCAATTTGTTAGTGAGATTAAAGACCTACATCTCGCTGACAATGAAACTATGGTCAGTTTTGATGTTCAGTCACTATTCACATGCCTACCTATTGAAGACTGCATCTCAATTGTTACTAGAAAGCTAGAAGATAACAACATGCCTACAGAATATGCAGTATTACTCAAACACTGCCTCACATCTGGCTATTTATTGTGGAAAGAAGAGTTCTACATGCAAGTAGACGGAGTGGCAATGGGCTCACCTGTATCTCCCGTAGTCGCCGACATATTCATGGAGGACTTTGAGGAGAAAGCCCTTCTTACTGCTCCTGTAAATCCAAGATTCTACAAGCGGTACGTAGACGATACTTTCACAATTTTACCATCTGACAAAGTGACTGCATTTTTAAACCACCTTAATTCCATAAACCCTAAAATACAATTCACAATGGAGTTAGAGGCAAACAATACTTTAGCTTTTCTAGATGTTTTAGTCATCCGAAATCCTGATAACACTATTGGTCATACTGTGTACAGAAAAAATACCCATACCAACCGATATTTAAATGGTGAATCTCACCATCATCCTTCACAGTTAGCTACCGTGGGAAAATCTTTGTTTCAGAGAGCACGAGGGATCTGTGACAGAAAACATCTGGCCGCCGAGCTTCAGCACGTCGAGCAAGTACTGCAAGACAACAAGCTTCGGGTCCCGCGCCTACGTCACAGTGACCGAGTGAAGCCAGCCACAGTCGAGCGTGTGCCTGCTGTACTACCCTATGTCAGAGGAGTCACAGACAAGGTTGGCTACATCTTGAAGCGAGCTTCCATTAAAACGTACTTCAAGCCGCTGAAGAAGATTGGTCAATTTTTACCATCCGTCAAGTGTCATATCCCTCTACAAGATGCAGGAGTGTACAAGCTGGATTGTGAATGTGGTCTCTCGTACATAGGACAAACAAAAAGATCTATTAAAACCCGCGTTAAAGAACATATAGCTGACGTGAAGCACCGACGTATCGGGAAGTCTGCAGTTTGTGAACATGTTCAGGATCGTCCCCATCATTACATTAGATTTGATAGACCACAAATCCTCGCAAAAGAACACAGATTCCTCCCAAGGATGATTCGCGAGGCTATTGAAATTAAAAAACATCCTAATTTCAATAGAGAAGATGGATGGGTGCTGCCATCTGCTTGGGATCCCATAATTAATAAAATCAAATCCAAACCCAAGTATACCACTGCTAGACTTCAAGATACTGTAAGCTCATTCTGCGTAAATCGAACCAAAAATTAATATTAAAAAACTGAAGGTAGCCGGGCTAACTATGACAGCAGGACGTCAAACAACTCAGTCCCCCGTGACCACGGGTGCTGGAAAGCACCCGAAACGTCGGGAATATAAAAATAAGTTAATATACGCGATAAAATCCGTAAAATTAGTTTTATTTAAAAAAAACTCCTTTTGTATCTTCAAATCATTCGGAACCTTTTTTTTGGTCTAAGAATACTATCCGCTAATTTTGAAAAAGGCTTTATATACGACAGTGTCTTAGTAAGAGGAGGCCAGAATGGTCATAGCTACGAATGGCAGATTTTAGCCGGCCCAGGGCGGAGGGTGTTAGGTAGACGGGTCGCAGTTGAAGTAGCGCGGGCAGGGCTGCCAGCGCGCCGGGCCGCAGGCGCGAGGCGTCCAGCGGGTGCGTACCTCGAGCGCCGTGTACTGGTTGTGCAGCGCGGGCAGGGCTGCCAGCGCGCCGGGCCGCAGGCGCGAGGCGTCCAGCGGGTGCGTACCTCGAGCGCCGTGTACTGGTTGTGCAGCGCGGGCAGGGCTGCCAGCGCGCCGGGCCGCAGGCGCGAGGCGTCCAGCGGGTGCGTACCTCGAGCGCCGTGTACTGGTTGTGCAGCGCGGGCAGGGCTGCCAGCGCGCCGGGCCGCAGGCGCGAGGCGTCCAGCGGGTGCGTACCTCGAGCGCCGTGTACTGGTTGTGCAGCGCGGGCAGGGCTGCCAGCGCGCCGGGCCGCAGGCGCGAGGCGTCCAGCGGGTGCGTACCTCGAGCGCCGTGTACTGGTTGTGCAGCGCGGGCAGGGCTGCCAGCGCGCCGGGCCGCAGGCGCGAGGCGTCCAGCGGGTGCGTACCTCGAGCGCCGTGTACTGGTTGTGCAGCGCGGGCAGGGCTGCCAGCGCGCCGGGCCGCAGGCGCGAGGCGTCCAGCGGGTGCGTACCTCGAGCGCCGTGTACTGGTTGTGCAGCGCGGGCAGGGCTGCCAGCGCGCCGGGCCGCAGGCGCGAGGCGTCCAGCGGGTGCGTACCTCGAGCGCCGTGTACTGGTTGTGCAGCGCGGGCAGGGCTGCCAGCGCGCCGGGCCGCAGGCGCGAGGCGTCCAGCGGGTGCGTACCTCGAGCGCCGTGTACTGGTTGTGCAGCGCGGGCAGGGCTGCCAGCGCGCCGGGCCGCAGGCGCGAGGCGTCCAGCGGGTGCGTACCTCGAGCGCCGTGTACTGGTTGTTCAGCGCGGGCAGGGCTGCCAGCGCGCCGGGCCGCAGGCGCGAGGCGTCCAGCGGGTGCGTACCTCGAGCGCCGTGTACTGGTTGTGCAGCGCGGGCAGGGCTGCCAGCGCGCCGGGCCGCAGGCGCGAGGCGTCCAGCGGGTGCGTACCTCGAGCGCCGTGTACTGGTTGTGCAGCGCGGGCAGGGCTGCCAGCGCGCCGGGCCGCAGGCGCGAGGCGTCCAGCGGGTGCGTACCTCGAGC